CTCCTTCTTGTACATGGGCTTGCCGTTGTAGGTTCCCGTGGCTGTGTAGCTTCCATTTACGGCAGGAAGTCCAGCGCCAACAACTTGCAGGGCACCAGCTGCGCCGGCTGGTAGGGACCCGCCCCCGCCGCTGCCTCAGTGTTACAGCAGCTGGTACATGAAAGCAAAAAGGGTGTAAGCCCATTTTGTATCCTTGGTTTTTGGTCATGAGTCATAAGGGGCAACGAGGCTATGGGCCTCAAAAAGGGCGCATTTGAGAACCGTTGAAAAATTTCACAAAAAGCGATGCCACTGGATTGTTGGGCTGCCTCTCAGAATTTCCACTTGCTGGCCTTGCTTGAACAAGGTGACGGCGAGGCGGAACTTGCATTTCCCGCCAACCTTTATGGAATGAAACTTGCTCGAACCCTTCAGGAACTCCACCCTGCCACCCTCACTCGTGCGAATCTCCACAATGTCGCCGTTCTTCACCGCTGGCGCTTCGCCAGCCGTCCTGCCTGACAGTAGCATTCTGGAACGCGATCACCTCTTTATACGCAGGCAGGCTAAGCCACAGCGTGTGAACTTTAGAACCGGTGCAATCACAACGCAAACGATCACAAACTATGACAAAACACACAAAGCTATCACTTACAAGGATCTAGCAGGGGTTGAGACACCACTTGTACAACAAGTAGTTTATTGCAAGGCCAAGCTACTCCAAATTGTTGGGTTGCTTTCATACAGGGTCTTTGGCACGCTCGCCCTTGAAAACTCTTCTGAGGGACTGCCAACCTGATCGCCCAAAACTGGGGCCAAGCGCTTCAAACAAGCACTGCAGCCGCAAAACATGGTACCCAGTCCAAGTTGCCCTCATACACAATCGTTCCGCTTATTGGCGAGCACATGGCCCCAATCGAAGACTGCAGCCGCTCGTCTCCAATCGCCAGCCTGCTGAATCCGCTCGGGTTCTCGTCCACAATGCCAAAAGCGAGTTGGTGACCGTTGCCGCTGAGCCGCAGCTTCAAGACACACGTGTCCTGTGACGTGAGGACTTGCGCAGTGACCATGGTAGCCGTTCTGTCTTCCACGCACAGCGCTTTCCTATCAGAACTGTCACAATCGACGGATCTCAACGTATCCACCCAAGTGAATCCTTCCTCCTCTGAGTATCCTGTGCTCGGCAGACCACTCGCATCATCCCCGTCGCCAAGCAGCTGGCTGATATCAAGGCTGCCAAGCATCTGGCTGATTGAAAGGCTGCCGCAGGATCGGTCAGAACCAGGCCCATAAAGCTGCAGCGACGCAAAACAGTTCCCCTCCCGCTGCTCACACTGCTTGGGAGGTACCCCCCCCCCCACGACCCATCTGCGTCTGCCTTTGTGTCCGCGAAGACCCTCCCCCCCCTGCGTGGCTGTCTGTGTCTCTTTGTGTGTGTCTGTGTCTGTCTGTGTCTGTCTGTGTCTGTCTACGTATCTGCGTCTGTCTTCGTGTCCCTGCGCATCTGTCTGTGTCTCTTTGTGTCTGTCTGGCTCTGTCTGTTTCTGTCTACGCATCTGCGTCTGTATTCGTGTCCGCGAAGACCCTCCCCCCCTCTGCGTGTCTGTCTGCGTCTCTTTGTGTCTGTCTGTGTCTGTCTACGTGTCTGCGTCTGTCTTCGTGTCCGCGAACGGGTCTCTTCACGTGCGCTTTCTCTTGCCCCGGGCCGAAATTCTAAGGTGTGTGGGGGTGGCGGAACCAGACCCAAGGCCATTAAATATATCGAAGCGGCGTCCGCCGCCCGAGCAGTCCGGCGCACCCTGTGTGACTTGCGTGGACACGCACGACCCGCACAGACATAGCACGCCCAAAGCGCCAGATCATGTCAACCCTGGGTCCATTTGCAAATAACGATGACGGCTGCTCCTTCTCCAATTCAACAGAAAGCAAAGTCGAACCAAACAACATTCAAATTGATCAAACAACAAGTATAAAAAAAAAAAACGAACTGCCGTGCCGCGGACACTAACTGAAATAACCTTGTACATAGAACTGGTGAACAAAATTCGAAGGAATAGAGCTCATGAAAAGAAATCCTGCTTGTTTTGTCTTCTCCGGCAGGCTCAAAATTCCTCGGTCGCGGCGCCTCACGGACAACGGGCGCGGAACGCGTCCGAGAAGAGTCCGGAACGGGCGCGGGTCCACACCCATTGTTGTGGAGGCGCGCGCTTTTCGCGACGTCAGTTTTAACACGCGCAATACTTCAGGAAATTGAGGTACAGATTGTTTTGGCAAGCTCGGCATTTTGTCAGATTGACAATCGAACCACGTAACAAATGTAAAATTTTAGCAGGCTGGTAGGCACAACCCTCTTGCAGACTCAAGCATAGATTAAATTGCGAGAATATCACAAATTCCGCAAGCATTTTTGCAAGGTCACACACAAAGTTCGTGACAGGCGCAGCACTTTTGCAAAATCAAACACAGCCTGCGCCTGATTGCACAACCTTCAAGCAACACCGTAAATACCGCCAAAACCACCCCTGGCAGCGGTCAGCATCCCCCCAACACCTCATACACCCTGGCCAACTTCACCAGCGGCGCAAAAAAAAGTTGCCCCCCTTTTTGAAGGTCCCCGTTTTTGGGGGGACGATCACGGTCTCTCGCTTTGAAGGCACCTTGCACTGAGCTCCGCCAAGCTTGGTGGTTTCCCGCGTTCTAAAAACCCGCATAGTTGAGGGTAACAGAGATTCAACCTCTCTGATCTGGTTCGCGCTGCTGCAAACCTTTTCCACCTGCAAGTAGCCGTCCACGCACGGTTGTGCGTGTCAAGAACACAAAATGGCCGAAGGAATTCCTATCACGAACCGAAATGCACCGGCGGGTTACATGGTCATGCGCAGAAGATGGAGGCAAGTCAAGAGAGATACTCACATGCCCCATAGTCTTTTGCCAAAAACTTCTGTGTTGACCGGATTATCTGCTAACTCGATCTTCCTTCTGAGACATAAAGGTTCTTGCCACAAGCGTCCAGGCGCCATCCGTCATCGCTTTCTTCAAGGCTGATGACTGCGCACCCGCCAAACTCACGTCTTGGCTTCTGCCCTGCTCAGCTACTGCGCAGGTGGACGGCCTCCTGACGGAGTCCCGGAGGCAGCGTCGGCCCTGAAGAAAGCGGCGCGCTTCCCGGACCGGCCATGGCGGCCAGCGAGGAGCAGATTCTGAACGTCTCCCTGGCGAATTCTAACATCGTCCGCGCCTACAGCCTGACCCCCGGCTGGGAGCTCCTCTTCGCCTGCCGGCATCGCCTCGGCACAGCCTCCGACTTAGCGCACATGTCCAAGGCCGACAACGTCTACGACCTTCTGTGCGGCAGCTTCGCGGGGGACCAGGGCCCCTGAAGATGTACTTCACCGTGCCCCCGGACGGGATCGCGAAGCTGCGGCACGGTCGACGTCTACGACCTCAGATCCTGGACGCCACCCTGGAGATCGACACAAATCCAGGCGGACATCGACGGCGGGGCAACGTCACGCTGGCCACTTTGGGCGAGGTGCTGTTGGCGCGCTCCAACAGCCAGAGCTCTGGCACCTCTGCAAGCTTCACGGTGGGCGGCTTTGAGCTGGAGGGCTACGCCATGGAACATTGCGCGAACCTACAGCCTGATGCCGGGGAGGCGCTACTCCTCCAATCTGGTGATGTACGTCAGCGCGGCCGACAACAACTACGTGGGCGTCACCGGCACCTTCCTCGGCACGGCCGCGCAGGGGGTCGGCACGCATGGACTTCTCGGCGCCCCCGGGCCGCGAAGCTGCACTTCCACACCTTCGGTGGGTCGATTCCAGGTCTGGCGCAGCAGTCGGCGGGCGCGCTGGACCTCTACAGCCTGCAGATCAGGGCCGTGTCCTTCAAGGGCAAGTCTGTCCGTCACGGACCTGGCCGACTTGCTGGCCCTCACAGGCTCCACGACGCAGGGCAACGTGGGCTGCGACCAGCTGCTGCGCAAGGACGTGAACTGCACCGACGTATTCACGACGGGCGTGGACGCCTCGGGGGCGATCTCCTGCGCCAGCCGGCGCCGTCTTGGGCAGCTCGCTGAGCATCGGGGGAGCGGCCAGCGTGGGCGTGCTGAGCTCGGCGACGGGCATCTCCGGCAGCACCCTGACGATCAACAACACAGCCAACGCAGGCAACTTCGCCACGGTCGACGACGTGTCCACAGGGACGCTGCGACTGCGGCGAGCTTCGCGGCCACCGGGGCCCTCGCCGCCGTTGGACTGCGAGAGCCTGGACTGCACCTTCACCGCCACCAGCGGAGGCGTGTCGAAGGGCAGCGTGGTCTGCGGTCTCCGCCCCGCAGCTGTTCGCGTCCAACACGCTCACCGTGACCAACACGTCCGAGTTCGCGGATGACCTGACGCTGACTGGGCAGGCTGGAGCAAGGTGCAGATCTCCGCGCGCGGGTCTTCCTGGAGCGGGACGGCGCGGCGCACCAGTGCGAGCTCATCATGATCAACGACGAGGCACTGGTCCAGACGAAGAGCCTCTTGCTGTCGCTCACCACAAACCAGCGGAACCCCGGCTGCCTGATGATCGGACAACGTGGTCTGCAACACCAGCTTCACCGACCTGTCGGACAGCCGGGTCAAGACGGAAATCGCAGAGGCCGGCCTGGGGGAGCTGCAGCATCTCTTCGACGCCGTGGAGGCGAAGCAGTACAAGCGCCCCGACATGAATGAGGACCTGAGGCTGGGCCGACTTCGCGGGCACGAAGTGGAGGGGCGAACGAAATTGTGGGACATGAAGGGAGATGATTTGAAATGATGGGCAACCAAGAGCAACCGAAGGGAAATGAAACAGAGCGCAAGTGAAGTTCAAATCACGGGCGCTAAAAGGAAGTAAGAGAACGGAGTGCAAAGGAAGAGGAGGAAGCGAATGGAAGTGCAAGAAAACAATGAATGGAAAATGGTGGCTGGAAATTTTGTGCGTGAAAGGAAACGCAGGGAAATGACGGGAGAATGGCCGGGGAAAATGAGTTGAGTCACGAAGGGAAAGAATGGAATACGAATGAAATGAAGGGGCAGGAGCGGAAACAGGTGATGAATGGAACGAGGGAGATGAAGGGAACTGAATGAAATTACGGGACACAAAGGCAACTGACAGGAATTGAGCGGAAATGAAGCGCAGGGAGCGAACGAAGGGGAAGGACTGGAACTGAACGGAGTCACAAAGCAAGAACAGGGAACTGCAAGGAAATGCTACTGCAGCGCAATGAGGAAATCCAGCAACGCGACGGGAAGTCCAGGCAAGCGAGGGGAGATGAGTAGTGCGATGATGTGAAACGTGAGGAAACAAACGCACGGAACAAGACAGCGACACTGAAACGTCAGACATGTCTAAAACGAGCACTTCCCCCAGTCTGCGCTGGCACTGGCCCCACATCGGCAAAGCCACCTATAGATTGTATCACAACGCTTGTTGTTAGACAAGAAACGAAAAACCTGACAGCAGTGCGCTAGACAGACAGACGGACCGACAAGGAAACAGGGACGAGTCTCTCAAACGATGCCGTTTGCCGCAGTCTTTTCTTTTTTCTGCCGCGCCAGGTCGTCTTGAACCCGTGACGCTTGATCTAAGCCAGGCACGTTCTGGTTGGCTCTGCTCCTTTAGCTGGCCGGCTTTTCCACCCTTGCCTTGAAGCTTTGCTTTGGCACTGCAGTTCCTTGGCGCGAGCAGTTTTTGTGTGACTTAAGTTATGCCCTGGCCCGGCCTGTTTCACCCCGTCTACGGCGCTTTTGGGCGGGAGGCTCACGTAACTTGCGTGCGCACTCACGGCAAGTCCAGGACGGCCAACTTCTGGCACGGCACTCATCCCTGCGGGGGCGTGCTCGGCCACACCCGCCTTGGCACGGCGGGAAGGCGCAGCTGTCGCACCAAGCGTCCGCGCGGGCCGCTCCAGGGCCGGGCGCGCCCTGGCACGGCGGGAAGGCGCAGCTGTCGCACCAAGAGTCTGCATTGGCCGTCTTGGGCAAGTCTCCACCACATTGGCTGCACTTCTTGGCGGCGCACTGACCCTTGTTAGCGCAATTAATGTAATTTGGGGCAAATGCGTTAAGCTCTTGCGCTTGTCTCGCACGCAACGCTTTTTGAAAACCTGGGGCGCAGAACGGCGGCGCTTTGTGGCATAGCAGCCATCGGCGGCGCGCCTGAAAGCCCTTCCGAACCCACCTTGGTCCCCATTTTGCCCAGCTCGCGCGTCTGCGCAGCTCAGCTAAAGTGTTGGAGTTAGCGAGCAGTTCGTGAAGTAAGAAATGTTCA